GGAAATCCCGGTCGCCTACTATATTCTCAGTGCGAGGTTGCAATCGCTTGGTTGTGTCCCAGGAGGCGCGCTGGTTTCCTTTCTGGAAAGAGAGGAAGACAGCTCGCCTGCCAAGAACGTCAGGGATAGTGCACGGTTTGAGCCTTTCAGGAGCATGTTGGCGTCTGCAGGCTCATTTCTGGATGAGGCGCAGCTTCTGTTGAGAAGCGCAAGCGAGCAGGAAGAAGAGGCCGTGGCCGACACGATCTCGGAGTTCGCCTCGGAGCTGGAGGGCCGCGCGCGAGACATGCTGAACCATACCCGTGAAGCTGCAGCATTGGTGCTGCCCTTGGTCCGGGCATCCCAGCCTCTGCCCCTGGAGCTGCTGGAAAGGCTGATCGCGCACATTCACACCATCGAGTCGCATTACGGGCCCTGCAACAAGTCAGACGTGTTGCCTGCGCCGCTTCTGAGAGCCGAGCCCGGTTCGAAGCTTTATCCTAGCCTTGCACGGAAGCTAGAGGCAGTCTGTGGCCGCTCCATCGCCGATCTGCGAGGCAGGGAGATCGAAAGGTTCAGGGCACGTTTGCTGAAGGGCAGTTTTCACAGAGCTTTTGACGAACGACGTTCCGCGCTCGCAAATGAGACGGCCGCCAGCAAGGACCTATTGTTTGCAGCTTATGCTGAGTACCTGTCCCATTCGGATCATACCCCTGTTGGCGAGATTGTGCACCTGGAGACGCTTGGTCCCATGAAGGTGACAACTTGGAACGTGCTCGAATTTCCGTGCCTTGGCTCCCTTGAGCCTGTTTTTGATGGCGTGCGCCCAGTGTGTGATGCGATACTGAAGGGTCTCGGGCGAAAGGATGCCGAATGCATGAACATTCTGCTTGACGCGGTGCGTTCAGACGTAGTCATCAACCGCCACACCGAGCGAGTTCTGTCTTTCGCGCAATACGAGTTGATGCACTGTGGTACAGACGTTCTGCTGCTGCAGGAGGTGAACGAGCGTGTGCGCGAGTCCATTTAGCGGCCCTCCGCCCATCCCTTTACCGTGCCCGGGTCGAGGTGCATGAGCCTTTTGGAGGCTTGCTGGGGTCTCGCAGGAGCGTCTTCGGGAATCTCTTGGGGCCTCTTGGGGACCCCCTTGGTGGCCTCTTCGCCCCTCTTAGGGGCCTCCGGGGGGCCCTCTTGCGGGTCTCTTATGGACCTCCTGCGGGTCTCTTGGGCCTACAGTCAATCCGCATAGTAAGGATGGGAAGCCTTCCCAAGGGATACCCTTGCATCCTTGTCGCGTTGGTCCATCCTTGGCTACTTTCTTTGGTCGCGCCCCGCTCGAGAAGCTTCGAACTGGGCGTCCAAGGCCCTTACATCCTCATCGCGCATCCTTCTGATACGAGCCGACTGTACTGTGGACGGGGGCTTGCAGCGGTCTGGCGGTGGCGCGATGTTCTGAGCCCTGTCGCGGGCCTCTTGGGCCTCTCTTGTGAGCCTCGGGGTCCATCTTGGGGCGACGTCGGGGGCCGCTGGGGCTCTCCGAGACGCCCGTAAGACCGAAGCGGCGATAGAATGCTGAACTCACACGAGCTTCAGAGTCTGCGCAGTAATTTCGGGCTCGTGGGCCGGCCCCCAGGGCCTCCAAGCTGGCCCAAGAGACCCGCGCGATGGCTCCTAGGACGGGCCCCTCGTGATGGGCCCATTTCCCACCACCACTACCATATGTAGGTGAGGAGGAGGAAGAGGAGGAGGAGGAGGAGGAGGAGGAGGAGGAGGAGGAGGAGGAGGAGGAGGAGGAGGAGGAGGAGGACGATAAGGAGGCGGAGGAGGAGGAGGAGGAGGAGGACGATAAGGAGGAGGAGGCGGAGGAGGACCTCCTCATCCTCCCGTCTCCCCCGTCCTACATTATGGTAGTGTTTGTGGAAACTTTGCCCATCACCTCGGACCATCTTGCGCATGCCGTGCTGAGAAGTTTCGGGGCTGCCCTTCCCTCCCTTCTCTCTGCGGCCGCGCTGCCTCTCCTCTTTCTCCTCTCTCGTGCGGTCCCTGGGCTGCCCGACCGGCCTCTGCGCGTTCCTCGGGGCCCGCGGCAAGCAGGGTGTTGGAAGTTTCTGCACTCGAGAGCGCCTCCCCGGCCTCGGGAGAGAGCTCGCGCAGGGAGGACGAGGAGGAGGAGGAGGAGGAGGAGGAGTTCTGGTTCAGCGTTCGAGGGTTCCCGCAAGAGCGCTTTTGGGAAGCCTGACGAACATGGGGGTGCTGGGCCCTCGAGGGGTGCTGCAGTGTCTTCAATGTTCGAGGGCGAGGCGCTCGGTGTTGAGGACTCTAGCGGGCCTGGGGACGCCTCGCTGTCATAGGAGGAAAAGGTGCCCATACCGCTACCCTTGCCTCGTTTTCCCCTTGTTGAGCCTCCCGGGGCGCCCTCGTCGCCAGCGCTGGATTCGCCTCGAACTTCTGGTCAGAACGCGCCCCGGGAGAGGTCTGGGGAGTGGCGGTATCGGTACCTTTTGGTTTCTCCACGCTGTGTGCCTGCGGCGGCGGATCTTGAACATGTGCACGCCGAAGGGCTGGTCTGCTCACTTCTCTGCCAGGAACGACGATGCTAAGCACTGTGATGCTATGACTGCTGTCATATCAAGGCACGCTTTTGATGAGGTGGCCGAGATGAAGGTCCAACGAAACAACAAGATCCGCCATTTTGCCGCCGCCCGTCTCGGCTCCACATGGATTGTGTGCGTTCATCTGCCCTTATCGTCAGTCCCCAAAGAGAAGGAGGATCTATCCGGATCATTTGGAAGCTATTCTTTGAAGGTGTTGCAGCAATTGTGGCGTCGATTCGGCAGCGCAGGCAGTCTTGGCAATGCGGGTGAAGTACTTGCAGGTGGCGATTGGAACGCACCCATACAAAACACTATCAAGCTCGCGGCCGCGCATCCTCCGCAAGGTTGCAGACTGATATCACTCTTTGCACCGCAGGGTCCGACGACTCTCTGCGATTTCCTAGATAGTGACGATTGCAGCCCAATCGATGGCTTCTTTCTTCTAGGATGAGACCCTCATTGTACAGTCTGATGGTCTCTCTCTCTCTCTGCGTTTTAGAGAAGGGGACCAGCGCGCCCCTCTGCAGACGGAATCTAGACGCGTCCGTGGGCGGCAGAGACGACATGTGCCACATGTGGGGGCATCATCATGTTCACCTGGTTTGTCTGGTCGCATGTTGCGCAACCCCTGGCACATGGAGTATGTATGGTTGCTTGACATTTTCACAGGCGTGCGTGGTAAAATGTATCCAGCTGTGTGGCATTTGAGGGCATGTGCGACCGTCTGGGGACCCAGCAACAGAAATGAGCATCACTGGAGTGAAAATTGCTGATGTGAGTAAGGTGCCGTCACTTTGTTGCCGTTTCAGCCCTGTGGCGCTTCGATTTTGCAGTTTATTGAAGAGGCTTGCGGCTTACGCCATTCTGCCGACCCCAACAAGAGGAGGTGTGCGGCTTCCGTGTGTGTTGTTTGACATTTTACGTCGTGCTGCCTGCGTGTAACCCCATGTTGTTGCTGATTCGTCCTCCTGTTCCTCCGCGTCTGTTGCGGGGCTTCTTGGGGACTTTTGAGGGGCCTCTTGGAGGCCTAGTGGGCGGCCTCTTGGAGCTTTTTCAAAGCTCCCGGAGGCTTTCGGGGGCCCTTTGGGGGCTTCTTGAGGGCTTCTTGGGGGGATGCTAGTGGTCTTGGGGGCAATTCTTGTGTGGGGCGGGGGCTCTTGTGGTTTCTGCGGATTCTTCCTGTTGGGCCTCTCTTGGGCCCCTCTTGGGGCACTTTTGAGGCTTCTTTTGCCGTCTTGCAGGCCTCTTGAGCCGTCTTGGGGCCCTCTTCTTGGGCTGTCTCCGGGGGGCTCTTTTGGCCGTCTTTGGGGGGGCCTTTCCCGCCGTTTTGGCCCTGCAGACGCCTGCAACGACGAGAACGCGAAAAACATGAAACAACACTGGGAATTCAGCACTTTTCGCTTCTTGAGGCCGTCTTTGGGGTCCTCTTGGGGCCTTCTTCTGGCGTCTTAGGCCGCCGTCTTGAGGTATCGTGGGCATTCCTGAGGCCTCTCTGGCGCGTTGGAGCTTCGTTGGAGCTGCCGTAGACAGCATCTTGGGCACCTCGGCGGCCACGGAGGGTTGATTTTCGGGCTCCGAGGGTCCCCGGGGTGCCTTGGCGAGCTCGTGCCCCCCCCCCCCCTCTGACGGGATTTTGGGCGCGAGAGGAGTGAGAAAGAGGAAGGGGTGGCAGCCAATCATCTCACACGCCTTCTCACCCCCGGCAAGCGGGGGTCGGCAGACAAGTGTTCGGCGATGCTGCTTCCTCCTCCCCCTCACTCCTTATCATCCCTTTCCTCCCCTCTGCCTTTACACTTTGTGAACGGCCGAGGCTGACGCCCTTTTCCTCCTCCTCCTCCTCCTCCTCCTCCTTCTCTTCCTCATCCTCCCCCTCCAGCTCCACGGTCGTTCCTTCCTCCTCCTCCCCCCTTCCCCCTCCCCCCTCCTGTACACGTGCTCACTGTGATGCCAGACATTGCGCGAGCGCATCTAGCTTGGTATGAACACTGCTCTTCTCTCTCTTCTTGGATGCAGCCCGAGGGGTGCAGTTTGTTCCCTTGCATTCTGTTTGTAACGCCCAGGATTCAGGTTTGCGCTTCATGCTGTCAATCGGAACGTGTTTTCGCTGTTCTCGCTGCAGCGTTGGCCCCACCGTGGTCGCCTCTTGCTCCTCCCACTTCGTTTTGTTATGTCGCCTCCCCCATGTCGCCTCTTCTTCTTCCTCTTCTTTTTCTTCTTCTTCATCTTCTTTCTCCTCCTCCTGCTGCTCTTCATCTTCCCCAGCCGCTTTGGCACATTTTTCAATCATGGCTCTCGCAGCCCAATCTTCCCCTCGTCCCCCTTCTCCTCGGTAGCCGTTTTGGCCTAAGCATTTCCGCAAGCCGCAGCATCAGTTCACCACTCCGGGGCAGCTACCAGGTCTGCCTTCCCCGTTTGGCGCAATGGCGTTCTCATCAGCTGGCCCCGTGGATATATCAAGCCTCACCCGCATCGCGAAAGACGACCTCGGGCTCAAGCCCCAGCCCAAGGAGCCCACGTTCAAGGGCGCCCTGCTCCAGATTCACGTGCGCTCCCAACCGTACGGCGGCTCGGACAAGAGCAGCAACGGCCACCGCTACGACAGCATCCCCTTCGCCAACGGCATGATCAGCGCCGGAATGAGCTGCCAGCTGATACACTACAAGTTCGAGGAACACGACAAGTTCTTCAGCGTGTGTAAGAATTTCGACTTCCTCATTGTGCGCTGCAACCCAGGCCAAATCAAGGCCGATGGTGGTGACCAGGCTCGTTTCGACAACGGGGTACGCGGCTTGCGGAAGCTGGGCATCCAGGCGTGGCCGTCCCCAGACGTCATGGAGTTCATGGGCGCCAAGGACGCTCTGTGCAAGGTAGCGCACATGATGATCGGCCTGGCGGACACCCTCTCCTTCTACGACCCAAAGCTGTTTGAGGCGGGTTTCAAGAAGACCATGGCGTTCCAGCCCCGCGTGATCAAGCAGAACCGTGGGTCTTCTGGCGAGGGTATCTGGATCATCAAGCTGAAGGCCGGCAACTACTGTGCCACTTACGGCGAGCGCGTCTGCACCGACGACGAGGTCCTCGACCTCATGGAGGCGAACGACAATCACTCCGAGGAGCACACGGTGGCGGAGTTCGTCGAGTTCTGCGTCAACGGCCGCACGGCCAAGTCTGGTACCTGGACCTCCAAGGGCGTCGGAAAGTACCTGGAGGGCGGCAAGGATGCCGGAGGCATGCTCGTCGACCAGCGTTTCTGCCCGCGCATCGTCGAAGGCGAGCTGCGCTACAACATGGTCGCAGACGCTCTCGTGGGAATCATCCACAAGAAGCCCAAGGAGGGCGGCATCTCCGCTGTCGGCGGCACTGGCTCGATCTACACCTTCTACGGCCCCGAAGAGCCCAAGTTCATGAACCTCACGGACAACTTCCTGAAGAAGGACCTGCCGTTTGTGATGCCGGCCCTCGGCCTCGCGTCGGAGCCCATCCCACTGTGGTGGACCACCGACTTCATCCTGGCCTCACCAGTGGGCACCCCTGCCGCGGAGGAGAAGTGGATCGTGGGCGAGTTCAACTGCTCCTGCGTCGGCATCTCCAAGTGCCTGGCCGCCTACTGCAAGGACGACACACCGAACGCGTGCTACACCGACATCGCGGCGGAGGACCTTGCCGAGGCGGACCGGTACGGCGCTCTCATGGGTGAGAAGGCGCTGAAGATCTGCAGGGAGGAATTCTCTTCTTCGAAGCCCGTCGATATCACTTCGATCACTCGCGTCGCTAAGGACGACTTGGGATTGCTGCCTCAGCCCTTCAAGCCAAAGTTCAAGGGCGCCCTCGCCCAGATCTACGTGCGCAGCCAGAGCTATGGCGGCTCTGACAAGAGCTCCAACGGCCACCGCTACGACTCGATCCCGTTCGCCAACGGCATGATTGCCGCAGGCATGAGCTGCCAGCTAATCCATTACGTCCACCAGGAGCACGAGGCCTTCTTCAAGGTTGGCTCGAAGTTCGACTTCATCATCATGCGCTGCAACCCCGGGCAGATCGCGGCCGACGGTGGCTCCCAGCAGAAGTTCGACGACGGCATGCGCGGGCTGCGCAAGAAAGGCATTCAGGTCTGGCCGTCCCCGGACGTGATGGAGTTTATGGGGGCGAAAGATGCGCTGTGCAAAGTGGCCAGCATGAACATCGGCCTCGAGGACACGTATTCATATTACGACCCCGTTGAGTTCGCGACTCTCTTCAAGAAGACGATGGCGTTCCAGCCTCGCGTGATGAAGCAGAACCGCGGCTCCTCGGGCGAGGGCATCTGGATCATCAAGCTGAAGGCCGGCAACTACTGCAAGACCTACGGCGAGCGCTCCTGCACCGACGACGAGGTACTCGACCTCATGGAGGCGAACGACAATCACTCCGAGGAGCACACGGTGGCGGAGTTCGTCGAGTTCTGCGTCAACGGCCGCACGGCCAAGTCTGGGACCTGGACCTCCAAGGGCGTCGGGAAGTACCTGGAGGGCGGCAAGGCGGCGGGCGGCATGCTGGTGGACCAGCGCTTCTGCCCGCGCATCGTCGAGGGCGAGCTGCGCTACAACATGATCATGGACGAGCTGGTGGGTATCATCCATAAGAAGCCCAAGGAGGGCGGCATCTCCGCCGTCGGCGGCACTGGCTCGATCTACACCTTCTACGGCCCCGAGGAGCCCAAGTTCATGAACCTCACCACCAACTTCCTGCAAAAGGATCTGCCGTTCGTGATGCCCGCGCTCGGCCTGGCGGACGAGCCCATCCCACTGTGGTGGACCACCGACTTCATCCTGGCCTCACCAGTGGGCACCCCTGCCGCGGAGGAGAAGTGGATCGTGGGCGAGTTCAACTGCTCCTGCGTCGGCATCTCCAAGTGCCTGGCGGCCTACTGCAAGGACGACACACCGAACGCGTGCTACACCGACATCGCGGCGGAGGACCTTGCCGAGGCGGACCGGTACGGCATCCTGATGGGCATCAAGGCAAGGTCTATCTGCTCAGGAGCTCCGCCATCCCTCGGCCCCGTGGACGTCTCAAAGATCACTCGTGTCGCCAAGGACGACCTCGGCCTGCTACCGCAGCCCAAGGATCCCAAGTTCAAGGGCGCCTTGTGCCAGATCTACGTGCGGTCCGCGAAGTACGGTGGCTCGGACAAGAGCAACAACTGCCACCGCTACGACTCGATCCCGTTTGCTAACGGCATGATCAAGGTGGGCATGAGTTGCCAGCTGATTCATTACGTCCACCAGGAGCACGACGCCTTCTTCAGCACGTGCGCGAATTTCGACTTCCTCATTGTTCGTTGCAATCCCGGTCAGATCAAGGCCGATGGTGGCGACCAGGGCAAATTCGACGATAGCATGCGGGAGATGCGCAAGCTGGGAAAGCAGGTCTGGCCCTCCCCTGACGTGATGGAGTTCATGGGCGCCAAAGACGCCCTCTGTAAGGTCGCGACCATGAACATCGGGCTGGAGGACACACTGTCGTTCTACGACCCAGTCGAGTTCGCCGCAGGCTTCAAGAAGACCATGGCGTTCCAGCCCCGCGTGATCAAGCAGAACCGTGGGTCTTCTGGCGAGGGCATCTGGATCATCAAGCTGAAGGCCGGCAACTACTGTGGCACTTACGGCGAGCGCGTCTGCACCGACGACGAGGTGCTGGACCTGATGGAGGCGAACGACAACCACGCGGAGGAGCACACGGTGGCGGAGTTCGTCGAGTTCTGCGTCAACGGCCGCACGGCCAAGTCTGGGACCTGGACCTCCAAGGGCGTCGGGAAGTACCTGGAGGGCGGCAAGGCGGCGGGCGGCATGCTCGTGGACCAGCGCTTCTGCCCGCGCATCGTCGAGGGCGAGCTCCGCTACAACATGGTCGCCGACGTCCTCGTGGGAATCATCCACAAGAAGCCCAAGGAGGGCGGTATCTCCGCCGTCGGCGGCACTGGCTCGATCTACACCTTCTACGGGGGCGACGAGCCCAAGTTCAAGAGCCTCACCGTCAACTTCCTCGAGAAGGACCTCCCGCACGTCATGCCGGCTCTCGGCCTGGCGGACGAGCCGATCCCGCTCTGGTGGACCACCGACTTCATCCTGGCGTCGCCAGAGGGCACTCCCGCGGAGCAGGAGAAGTGGATCGTGGGCGAGTTCAACTGCTCGTGCGTGGGCATCTCCAAGTGCCTGGCGGCGTACTGCAAGGACGACACGCCGAACGCGTGCTACGACGACATCTCGGCCGAGGACAGAGTTGAGCTGAAGATGTACGAGGGCTTCCTCGGGCAGAAAGCGCAGGAGCTCCTACGCAAGGGCGTCCCCCCGTCGGCGGGCCCAGTGGGTGTCGCATCCCTCACGCGCATCGCCAAGGACGACCTGGGCCTCATGGACCAGCCGGTGTCCCCGAGCTACAAGGGCGCCCTCGCTCAGATCTACGTGCGCAGCGCGAAGTACGGCGGCTCCGACAAGAGCAGCAACGGCCACAGGTACGACTCGATCCCGTTCGCCAACGGCATGATCAAGGCTGGCATGAGCTGCCAGCTGATCCACTACGTCTGGCAGGAGCATAACGAGTTCATGAACGTGTGCAAGGGCTTCGACTTCATCATCGTGCGCTGCAACCCCGGGCAGATCGCGGCCGACGGTGGCTCCCAGCAGAAGTTCGACGACGGCATGCGCGGCCTCCGCAGAGCTGGCATCCAGGTCTGGCCCTCCCCAGACGTGATGGAGTTCATGGGCGCGAAGGACGCTCTGTGCAAGGTGGCTACGCTGAACATCGGCCTGGAGGACACCCTCTCGTTCTACGACCCCGCGGAGTTCGAGGCCGGCTTCAAGAAGACCATGGCGTTCCAGCCCCGCGTTATCAAGCAGAACCGCGGCTCCTCAGGGGAGGGCATCTGGATCATCAAGCTCAAGGCCGGTAACTACTGCAAGGCCTACGGAGAGCGGTCTTGCACCGACGACGAGGTGCTGGACCTGATGGAGGCGAACGACAACCACGCGGAGGAACACACCGTGGCCGAGTTCGTCGAGTTCTGCGTCAACGGCCGCACTGCGAAGTCTGGCACCTGGACCTCCAAGGGTGTCGGGAAGTATTTGGCGGGCGGCAAGGATCAAGGGAGGAAAAACCATCCGGAGCCGATAATTGGCGTTTATTAAACGGCCCTGGGCGTTTACCAACCAGCCCTGCCCTGTTCGATTCCTTCTTTGGGTGCGTTTACTAAACGGCTTCGCTTGTCGGGGTGATCATTATGGGGGTGGAGTTTTTGCCCTCTAAAGGAAGCGGGCGGCATGCTGGTGGACCAACGCTTCTGCCCCCGCATCGTAGAGGGTGAGCTGCGGTACAACTGTGTCGGCGACCAGCTGGTGGGGATCATCCACAAAAAGCCCAAGGAGGGCGGCATCTCCGCCGTCGGCGGCACGGGCTCGATCTACACCTTCTACGGCCCCGAGGAGCCCAAGTTCATGAACCTCACCACGAATTTCCTGAAGAAGGATCGCAGAAAGTCGCTAATCAAAGTCGGGCATGTCCCTCTACAATGGCTAGGAATAGTCTGGTTACGATGTTTCCTGCTCTTCTGACTATTTTTGACAATCGTTTGACCATTGGTAATGGTTCTTCCAAAATCCGCCTGTAGTAGGACATGCCCGACCTAACAATAATCATGTTGGGAGGATGGGGCTGGGGGAAATGATCAGATCATCCATCTTACCATGTATGTTGAAGGTGCTCATTACATTGTCGTGCCCTGCATCTTCCCAACCCCGCTCTCCCAACACGATAACTGACCTTCTCAGGATCTGATCAAGGTCATGCCCTCGCTGGGACTGGCCGACGAGCCGATCCCGCTCTGGTGGACCACCGACTTCATCCTGGCGTCGCCGGTCGGCACCCCTGCCGCGGAGGAGAAGTGGATCGTGGGCGAGTTCAACTGCTCGTGCGTGGGCATCTCGAAATGCTTGGCGGCCTTCTGCAAGGACGACACCCCGAATGCCAAGTACACCGACATCGCGTACGAGGATCTGGATGAAGCCAACCGCTACGGCTCTATCATGGGCGACAAGGCGCTCAGCATCATGCGCCAGACGAAACCCAGCGCGGCTGGCGGCGGCGGGACGTTCAAGGTCGTGTTCCTGCGCCACGGGGAGAGCGACTGGAACGTCAAGAACATCTTCACTGGGTGGGCCGACGTGGACCTCAGCGACAACGGCAAGATCGAGGCGCTCGAGGCGGGCAGGATGCTCAAGGACAATGGCTTCAGGTTCGACATCGTCTTCACGTCCGCGCTCAGGCGCGCCATCAGGACCGCGTGGACCGCCCTGATGGAGTCGGATAACTTCTCGATGCCAATCATCAACACCTGGAGGCTAAACGAGCGGCACTACGGCGGCCTGCAGGGGCTGAACAAGGCCGAGACCGCGGAGAAGCACGGCGACAAGCAGGTCAAGATTTGGCGCCGCAGCTACGACATCCCGCCGCCCACCATCGCCGCGTCCGACCCGCGCCACCCCTGCAACGACCCGCTCTACCGCCACGTCCCCGCTGAGGCGCTGCCTGGCGCGGAGTCCTTGAAGATGACGGTCGACCGCGTGCTGCCCTTCCTGAACGACACGATTCTCCCGTGCGTCATGGCCGGCAAGAGCGTGCTCGTCGCCGCGCACGGGAACTCCCTGCGCGCCATCTGCAAGTACTTGGAAGGCATGTCCGAGGATGAGGCTCGAGTAAGAAAAACTGCAGACAGTGGAGGCCCATGCCAAGAAACACCCTGCGTGCCTCCGGGGTGCCCTGGGTTTCTGGGGTTCCGATGGTTTTGCGATGGAAAGCGTGATGCTCCCACGCCAAAAATCCATGGACATTCTGGTGTCCCAGGGTTAGGTTTCTTGAGGAAGGTTTCTTGTGGATCTGCCCCCACACTAACCATAGACTTCTGGGGCTCCGCGCGGACCTGCTGGATCCGCGCTGGCCCCTCTTGCGGCGTCTCCGGCGCCACCCCTGGCGTGCTCCGCGCGCAAGGGAGGGGTATCCAGCGCCGATCCAAGACATCCGCGCGGACCTCTGGCCGTTTTGTTTGTTTGTTTGTTGCTGCTGTTTGCTGTTGTTGTGGTTGTTGTTGTGGTTGTTGCTGTTGCTGTTGCTGTTGCTGTTGCTGTCGTTGTTGTGGTAGTCGTCGTTATAGTAGTAGTAGTAGTAGTAGTAGTAGTAGTAGTAGTAGTAGTAGTAGTAGTAGTAGTAGTAGTAGTAGTAGTAGTAGTAGTAGTAGTAGTAGTAGTAGTAGTAGTAGTAGTAGTAGTAGTAGTAGTAGTAGTAGTAGTAGTAGTAGTAGTAGTAGTAGTAGTAGTAGTAGTAGTAGTAGTAGTAGTAGTAGTAGTAGTAGTAGTAGTAGTAGTAGTAGTAGTAGTAGTAGTAGTAGTAGTAGTAGTAGTAGTAGTAGTAGTAGTAGTAGTAGTAGTAGTAGTAGTAGTAGTAGTAGTAGTAGTAGTAGTAGTAGTAGTAGTAGTAGTAGTAGTAGTAGTAGTAGTAGTAGTAGTAGTAGTAGTAGTAGTAGTAGTAGTAGTAGTAGTAGTAGTAGTAGTAGTAGTAGTAGTAGTAGTAGTAGTAGTAGTAGTAGTAGTAGTAGTAGTAGTAGTAGTAGTAGTAGTAGTAGTATAGTAGTAGTAGTAGTAGTAGTAGTAGTAGTAGTAGTAGTAGTAGTAGTAGTAGTAGTAGTAGTAGTAGTAGTAGTAGTCGTAGTCAGTAGTAGTATAGTAGTAGTAGTAGTCGTAGTAGTAGTAGTAGTAGTAGTAGTAGTAGTAGTAGTAGTAGTAGTAGTAGTAGTAGTAGTCGTAGTAGTCGTAGTAGTCGTAGTAGTAGTAGTTGTAGTAGTAGTAGTAGTAGTAGTAGTAGTAGTAGCAGTAGTAGCAGTAGTAGAAGCAGCAGCAGCAGCAGCAGCAGTTGTTGTTGTTGTTGTTGTGGTGGATGTTGTGGTTGTTGTCGTTGTTTTTTTGTTGTCTTCTGGAGGTGCTGGAGCTCAACATCCCGACCGGCGTGCCCCTGGTGTACGAGCTGGACTGCCAGCTGAAGGTCGTCAGCAAGTACTACCTGATGGACCCTGAGGAGGTGGCGAAGAAGGTGGCCGCCGTCGCCAACCAGGGCAAGGCGAAGTGAGACCTCCAGCAGGGCCCGCACTGGGCTCGAGCGCGGCGCGGCGCGTGATCAGCCGAGGGACGGAACACGATGACCACGAGTGTGACGTCGCGGTGTCTTGTCGACGCCGATCTTGGTCATGGTCCATGCTGGCCGTCGCCGATTCGCATGGATGATCGGGCGTTGCTAAAGGTACCCCTGGCCCAAGGTGCCCCCAGCTTTTTGCACCTTTTTTGATCCCTGGGGCCCCCTGGGCCTCACGAGGGGTGCTCTGGAGGCCGTGGGGGCCTCCTTGGAGATCCTGGGGGCACCTTGGGCCAGGGGCACTTCTAAGAACACCCCAGATGATGCGCGACTCGACGACCAAGATGGACGATGACCAAGATCGGCGAGGACGTTTCCGCGTTTAGTGTCTTGGTCATGGCCATCGCTTGGCCTTCCCTCCACTCCGGTGGCAAGTTTGGCCCCGCGCCCCCCGCCGTGCGGGCTGGGCAAGGGCCCCCGATGCCTCCGCGGGGGGCGCCCACTTCAGGGCCCCCGCGTCGAGGACGGCTGGAGTTCCGCGGTGCCCAGCCTGTCGGATTTCGGCCGCGCGCAGAGGGGGGTACGGTCGGACCGAGGTCGAAGATCGAGGTCGGTTCGGGGAGGGTACCCTACTGTTCTTCGTGCTCGTGCTTGATGTTCTTGTGCATCCTGGGGAGGGTAACCCCTGGATGTTCTGTGTGTTTTGGCCTGCGGAGGGTTTCATGTTCTTGGAGGTAGTTCTTCTGTCCCAGGTCCGACCGTAAAGGAGGGGGAATGCCTCTCAGAAACGCCCCTGTTTCTCCGAAGGCGCGGGCCTGAACCTGTAGATGGAGGGCCAGCGCCTTCTGAGAAGCAGCCTTCTTGAAAGAAGCCTCTCCCCCTGCCCCCTTGTGCGCGCCGCCAAGGCTTCGAAGAGCCGAGATGGTAAGGCTTCGGGTTGTGCACAGACAGCCTTCCTGGGTAGCCCCAGCCCTGGCGCCGCCTCCAGCGGCGCCCCTGGGGCGCTCCGCGCCCCAGGACTCACTGCCCCAGACTAGGCGGGGGTCCTGTGGAGGCCAGCTGGGACTACCAGCCAGGACTGCCTTCTGTTGGGGCCGTCCCTGCGCAGCCCGAAGCCTTGCCAGGCGGATTGGGCAGAGGAGTGAGGCGTGAGGGCTTGGGCCCGCCGTTGCGGCACATGACCCCGCGTGTTGCCACCGCTGTTTTTTTTCGTTCCCCTGCAGATCCGCACGGGGAAGGCGCCGGCCGGGTGCGCTGTCGGCTGCTGCTGCGAGCGGATCCTTGTGCCTGCGCTCGAAGAAGAAAAAGCGGCACCAACAGAAATGTTCGACGTTCCTTGCGGATTTCCTGTATTGGCGCTGGAACCCCATGGCGGCGCCTCCGGCGCCGCCCCCTGGCGCGCTCCGCGCGGCAGGGAGGGGGGCCCATCGCCGATCCAAGAAGTTCGCGCGGACCTCGGAGAAATCATGGTGATTCAGTTTTTTGTTCTTCTATGCCCGTGCTGTCGATGTTGGCGGGCCAAGCTTGTTGCTTTTTTTTGCGCACCGGCCGCGCATCCTTTCCAGACGTAGAGTTTGGACGTGTCGTGTGACTGGCCGTGGTTGTGAGGGGCTCTGGCGCGCCCTGGCAGATGGTCCAAGATGGGATATATAGTCGTCGGAGAAGCAGCGACCGCCTCATAATCTTGAGTCGGGCCTGTCCCTCTACAGGCGGAATATGTAAAAACAGTCAAAACATGTTCAGGTGACGAGATGTCAATTCTTGCATGTTTTAGAGTATTTTTGATTTCGCGTCCAAAATCCGCCTGTAGGGGGAGATGCCCGACCTAATCAAAATCCGCAGCAGCAAACAGCAGATGTGTGCCATGGGCGGCCAGATCGCCTCTCCCTGTGAAGACCACAGCCGTGGCCAGGCGCACGTGCGCCTCAGCTGCTCGCTGGCATCCGAAGCGGTCCCGCCGCACTCCCTCTGCCAGAGGAGCGTGCGAGCCGTCTCTTGTGGCAGTGCCTTCCGTGACGGCGGCACTTCCGTTGTGCCTGCTTCTCCTCGCTCCTGTCGCGGAAGGAGCGTCCGCACATAGATTTTGTTCTTCTCCCGTCGTGGGGGGCCATGCGGCCCCCCTGGAGTGCGACGGAGAGCCACCTCGCTCTGCTCGCTCCACAGCGGGCCGCGGGCCCTTCAGATTCCGATTCGCCGCCCGCATTTGGGCGCCGAGAGCGGCCAGAACAGGCAGACCAATGTTCTACGCTCTGCCTCCTCCTCCGCCTGCTGCTCTTCCTCCTCCTCCTCCTCCTCCTCCTCCTCCTCCTCCTCCTCCTCCTCCTCCTCCTCCTCTGTCGGTCGGTCGGTCGGTCGGATGGCGGACAGCCGAAGCCATTATGAAGAGAGCACGGCAGGAGACAACATGGAGTGAAGGACAAGGCAGCAGCAGCATGCCCACGAGAGGACACTGAGCAGCTCCCGGCGCGAAGTGCGCGGGCCCAGCACAGGCAGGGCTGGCCACACTGGGGTACTATAGCTGATAGTGGAGGGGCTTGGGAAATAAGGAGGGCATAAGGATATAGTTGGAAAATGGTAGAACCATTCCCCCACAAGGCACTGTCGCTTAGAGTGGACTGACTCTCAGGCGTGGACGTAGGCAGTACAACTAGGCAGGGGTAAAGAGGATCCGTCCCCCCTGCCTCAAGCCTTTCACTGCCCAAGGCGCTGCAGGGTCCCAGGGCCTGCCTGCTGAGCATGCAGCTGCTGCCAAGTTGGTGGCGCGCCCGGGCTCAGCAAGCCTTCACTGCAAGACCCTCCACAGACTTGAAACACTTCGGGGGCCAGCCGTCTGCAACTCTGCAACTCATGAATGTGAATGCGTGTGCGCGTGTGCGTGTGTGTGTGTGTGTGTTTATGTATGTGTGTGTGTGTGTGTGCAGTGGCCCCGCCTGCTCCCCCCTCCGCGGTCGCCCTGTCCGTCCTTTCCCTTCTCCTGTACGCTGGCCAATTCGCTTCTCGGTGCCCCCGTTTATCTTTCTATCGCTGGTCCACCCATTCTGCCTCGCCGCCGACGAACAAAGTGTATGTGTGTGCGTGAGGGGAGCGACAACGAAAAACACCGTTTAGGTTCAGCCCTGCATGAATGTGATGGGATGGGCCCCGACCCGTGGCATGGTCAAAAGTCTCAGGAACTGGGGTACTCTTCAAGGGCTCGGGGCCTCGGGAACGCTGGGATTCAAGGAGGGATGCTCCATGATGGCTGGCACCCCGCGGATCCAGGCCTCGTGGAGCAAGGGGAGGGCAGTGCGGAGGATGATGCTTCCCAGCCGAACCTGCTCTCTCCCCCGATTGCTAAGATGTCCCAGGCCCCACGGATGGTCAACAGAGCGGACGGGGCGCGGGGGTCGGCAGGGACTGGGAGGAAGCGAGCGGTGGACCAAGTCTCGCATGGGGGACCAGCTAAAATAGCAGCCACCCACAAAACAGTTGAGGCCTCCACTCGCCCCCCCTCCCCGAAGCATGCGGCATCACCCCCCAGAGCTTTTGCTCGTGGGGGCCCCGCTCCCGAACCCGACCTTCTGTGAATCCCGGCCAGCCCTCCTCCACCTCCTCGACCTCCTTCCCCCCGTCGCCCTCCTCCTCGACCTCCTCCCCCCTCGTCGTCGTCGTCCTCGTCTCCTCCTTCCCAGGTCCTCCTCGTCCTCTACCCTCTCATCCCCTCCTCCTCCTTCTCCTCCTCCTCCGCCTCCTCCGCCTCCCTCTCCTCCTCCTCCGTCTCCTCCGCCTCCTCCTCCTCCTCCTCCTCCTCCTCTGCTCATCCTTCTCCTCCTCCTCCTCCTCCTCCTCCTCCTCCTCCTCCTCCTCCTCTTCCTCCTCCTCCTCCTCCTCCTCCTCCCCCCCCCTCCTTCTCTTCCTCTACCCTCTCCTTCCCTTCTGCTCGTCTGCCCTCGCAGAGGTCCGACGCCGTGGTTCTTTCGCAGGGCGGGCCCCCCCAGACCCCTTCCCCAGACCGGCCCTTCGTCCCGAGTCGTTTCGTGACGGTCCCAGGGCTCGGCGAGGGCCCCCAGGGGCCGAACATGGAAGCAAATCTCCCGTCGTGTTTTTGGGTCCGCATCGAGGGGAGGTGGGCTTTTCCCTGCAGTCGGACCGAGGTCTAAGATCGAGGTCGGTTCGGGGAGGGTACCCTGATGTTCTTCGTGCTTGTTGGATGCTCCTGTGCATCCTGGGGAGGATGCTCTTGGATGCTCTGTGTGCTTTGGCTGGCGGGAGGGCCTCATGGTCTTGAAGGATGTTCTTCTGTCCTAGGTCCGACTGTACCATTCCGGCGGGGAAATTGTCCACGACGACGCTGCCGACGACGCCGCCGACGACGACCACCGAGCACCGGGGGGAGCGAAGGCGGACCGACTGGGCGGCAGCACCGGCTCCATCAACAGGAGACCCCGCCTGGCAGTGGGAGTGCGAGGAATGATGACGAGGATGATGATGATGAGGATGAGGATGAGAATGAGGATAATGATGATGATGATGATGATGATGATGATGATGCTGATGATGATGGTGATGATGATGATGAGGATGATGCTGTTGATGATGATGAGGAGGATGATGAGGATGATGGTGATGATGCAGATGATGATGATGATGATGATGATGATGATGATGATACAGCTGATGATTATGATTATGATGATGATGCGTATGGTGGTGATGATTAGGCTTCTGATTATGATTCGGATGATGATTATGAAGATGATGGTGGTGGTGATGATGGTGGTGTTGATGATGCTGATGCTGATGATGCTGCTGATGATGATGATAATGATGATGGTACTGCTGATGATTATGAGGATGATGCTGCTGATGATGATGATGATCATGATGATGATGACGATGATGATGACGATTGTTATGATGATGATGATGATGATGATGATGATGATGATGATGATGATGATGATGATGATGATGCTGATGCTGATGCTGATGCTGATGCTGATGCTACTGATGATGATGACGACGATGATTCTGATGGTGATGATGATGATGCTGATGATGATGGTGCTGCTGATGATGATGATGCTGCTGATGATGCTGCTGCTGATGATGATGATGATTGTTGTGATGATGATGATAATGGTGATGGTGATAATGGTGATGGTAGCGCTGATGATGATGATGCTGATGATGCTGATGATGATGATCATGATGATCATGCTGATGATGATGCTGATGATGCTGATGATGATGATGATGATGCTGATGCTGATGCTGATGCTGATGATGCTGATGCTGATGCTGATGCTGATGCTGATGCTGATGCTGATGCTGATGCTGATGATGATGATGATGATGATGATGATGATGATGATGATGATGATGATGATGATGATGATGATGATGATGATTAGGCGGAGGATGAGGAGGAGGAGGAGGAGGAGCACGACGAGGAAGGGTCAGAGGAAAGGGCACCGATGTCGCCTGGGGGCCTCCCGGGAGGCCCTCGTCCCCGCGGCTGGATTCGCTTCGAAACGTTAGTCGGAACGCACCCCGGGAGAGGTCCGTGGAGTAGGGATCTTGATAGTTTTCCCGACCCTCCTGCGTTGGGTTCTCGTTTTGAAGAGAGCGCTGCGGTCTCCGTCCTCTCCTGCCCTCTCCTCCTCTACTCTCTCCTCCTCTGCTCTCTTGCCTTTTAACTCCTCGCCTCGCCGTCCTGCGTCACCTCGCCATCCCTGGGGGGCTGCGGTCTGCGAAACTGTCGCCACTTTCGAGGGCTGCTGGGGGGCCAGCATAGTGGGTACCCGCCGCAGATGCAGATTAGACCTCGCCGTCCCTGGGGGGCTGCGATCTGCGAAACCGTCGCCTCTTTCGCACTTTCGAGGGCTGCTGGGGGGCCAGCATAGTGGGTACCCGCCGCAGATTCAGATTAGACCTCGCCATCTCTGGGGGGCTGCGATCTGTGAAACTGTCGCCACGTTCGAGGGCTGCTGGGGGGCCAGCATAGTGGGCACTCGCCGAAGATTTAGATTAGACCTTGCCATCCCTGGGGGGCTGCGATCTGCGAAACTGTCGCCACGTTAGAGGGCTGCTGGGGGGCCAGCATAGTGGGTACCCGCCGCAGGTTCAGATTAGACCTCGCCATCCCTGAGGGGCTGCGATCTGCGAAACCGTCGCCACTTTCGAGGGCTGCTGGGGGGCCAGCAGGGTACTCGCCGCAGATTCGGATTAGACCTCGCCGTCCCTGGGGGGCTGCGATCTGCGAAACTGTCGCCACGTTCGAGGGCTGCTGGGGGGGGCAGCATAGTGGGTACCCGCCGCAGATCCAGATTCGACCTCGCCGGCCCTGGAGGGCTGCGATCTGCGAAACTGTCGCCACGTTCGAGGGCTGCTGGGGTGCCAGCATAGTGGGCACTCGCCGAAGATTTAGATTAGACCTCGCCATCCCTGGGAGGCTGCGATCTGCGAAACCGTCGCCACTTTCGAGGGCTGCTGGGGGGCCAGCATAGTGGGCACTCGCCGCAGATTTAGATTAGACCTCGCCATCCCTGGTGGGGCTGCGATCTGTGAAACTGTCGCCACGATCGAGGGCTGCGGGGGGGCCACCGTAGTTGGCACTCGCCGCAGATGCAGATTAGACCTCGCCGTCCCTGGGGGGGCACCGATCTGCGAAACCGTCGCCACGTTCGAGGGCTGTTGGGGGGCCAGCATAGTGGGTACCCGCCGCAGATTCAGATTAGACCTCGCCGTCCATGGGGGTGGCTGCGATCTGCGAAACCGTCGCCACGTTCGAGGGCTGCGGGGGGTGCCAACATAGTGGGTATTCGCCGCAGGTTCAGATTAGACGTAGCCATCCCTGGAGGGCTGCGGTTTGCGAAACAGTCCCCAGTTTCGAGGGCTGCTGGGGGGCCAGCGTCGGTGGGCACTCGCCGCAGGTTCATATTAGACCTCGCCATCCCTGGGGGGCTGCGGTCTGCGAAACTGTCGCCAGTTTCGAGGGCTGCTGGGGGGCCAGCACAGTGGGCATTCGCCGCATATTCAGATTAGACATCGCCATTCATAGGGGGGCTGCGATCTGTGAAACTGTCGCCACTTTCAAGGGCTGCTGGGGGGCCAGCATGGCGGGTACCCGCCGCAGATTCAGCTTAGACCTCGCCGTTCCTGGGGGTGGCTGCGATCTGCGAGACCGTCGCCACGTTCGAGGGCTGCGGGGGGGGGGCCAACATAGTGGGTACCCGCCACAGGTTCATATTAGACCTCGCCATCCTTGGGGGGCTGCGGTCTGCGAAACTG